GAGCCGGCTGGGGATGGTTCAGCATTTGGCAGGGAAGCATCTAGAGCGCTCTCTTCATTGTCACCTGTAGAGGGCTGTGCTTCCCTTCTAGATGCTGAAGATTGCCTGGGAACAGTCTCAGAGGAGTTTCCATTCACTGCAGATGGATCAGAAAAATGTGTGTTTTTACAAAAAGCAACAGATCAAAAAAAATGTATACTAACAAACTCAACCATACAAAGTTTTAAGCAAAACAGAATATATCTAGAAACATTCTATTAATGCGTTAAGCAAAGTAACTTGCTAAAAAACAAGAGGCAGGAGGAAATAAGAAGCTCAAGTTGTTAAAGTTACACCAGTAACAGTGTGAATAGGACACCATGGAGCCTCTAAAAACAGCCTGTTTTACTGCTGCAAAAGAACAACAAGAGCCAGAGGACAGGGATGAAATAAACTGCACAAGTAACTAAGTTTTTTAGGAGAGGTTCATGCTTAAAAGATTTTTTCTTCCAATAAGTATTTCTGTTAGGATTCTAAAAGAGAAGCAGAGGAGAACAGAACCGGAGAGCTAAATAACAACGATAAATAACAATTTAATAAATAGCAATCCAGAAAGAGGCAACAAATTCACGTGGTTTATTAATCTAAGCTTTGAGGACAATGTTGGAGTAGCAGTGTAGCTCATAAGTATAAATCCTCCCAAAGCGAATATTTTAGAGAGTGAATTTCACACTCTGGGAGAGCAAATTCACAGTTGGTCACAGACAGAGCTCTAAATGTCCTTAAGAACACAGTAGATGTAACACAACTCTTGTTTGTCTCGTTTGAGGGAAGCAGGGAAGTTGAAATAAAGACTGGAGATAAATGGACGGTATTTAGGTTTGGATCAAGGCATTCTGGGCAGGACAGGGTCTCTCCTAGTCTGTTTGGGGATTTTTTTAAACAAAAATCAGTCTTGTAGGCAGCATTTTCATAACCACACAGGGTTGCACTAAGTGCACCAATATTTATGTCTGGGATCATAACCGTTTATGAACCAAAACTGCAAGAATCAGTGCAGCAATGGGAGACGATCCAGAGAGAAGAACAAAAAAACAAACTGAAGCGGAGCCATTTGAACTTTAAGATAAATGTTGACTTGTCTCTGTAAAATGCCTTGAGATGACGTGTGAACGATGATAGTGTGAATTAGCAATATATATAAACAAACTGAATTGAATTGAAATAAAATGCTACAGAAAAGGATGAAAAAAACAACTATGTTGAATGTATAGTGGAGGAATTTGGGGATATTTTTGAAAAGAGCCACCCTATCCACCAAAAAAAATGCACATGCACAACCCTGTACCCGCTTCAGAGAGGGAACCCCTATTAAACGTGTGCGAGAGCCCATTTCTCCTCGTGCACGCTCTGTTTAAAAGTTGCTGTTTGCATCGCTCATACAAGCTTACTTTCCAAAGGAAGATTTGCAATTTTTCCACTATGTCCGACTCACCACCGGCAAGTGAAAATGGGGACGAGCACGTAGGACGGTAAACATATCAGCAGAATGATTGACAATTAGGAGGACCACTTATTTAGAAATCCACCCGGAAAAAGAACATCCTCCACTATACTTTTAAGTAAGGTTAAAAAATCAATTTAGTAATTTTGAATAGATTCCTTTACATTTTTGCAAAATTGATGTCTAGGGAATGAGATCGATTGGTTTTATTGTGACGTGCGTAACGTTCACATTCAAACGAGCAGG